TGAAACCACAGCTCCCGCCCTACCCCTCTCCCTCTTCTACAATTGCTTGTTCATCCTTTCCCATGAGTCTCCTTGGGCATTGACTTCCGCCTTTTCCGCTCGCTTTCCTCGGGCAGAAATTGACGAAAGTTCCCACAGATAGAGGTAAGGAATATTATTGAAGTTGTTTTTATTTTGCTCAAGCTTATCTGATCTGGTTTCCTTTTAGAAATTCTATTCCTCTGATTATACTTTTAATGTCACAAGTGGCTCCAAAGAACCTGTTTACCTGTGCTCTGAATGAAACACATTACGCGCAGTGAGGCGGCGAATGCTTGTTAAAAAAAGGTTAAGCTTAACTGATATTAGAACTATCTGTATCAGTTCTTTTGGAATTTACAGTTCTTAAATGCAAACTACGCAAATCATACAAGATTCACTTGAAAATTTCAAAACGTGTGTTCATCGAAATACGTAGAAATTTTAATTCAAATCTGGAGGCTTGAAGTTGAGCGCAAAGTCCACTCTATAAATCGGGCTATTGCAATAAATATCCGTACCCTTTCAAAATCCAACCAGTTGGTCAAAAAAATTGAGACAAAACAACTTTAGCTAGCAAAAACCCATTTCAGCCGTCATTGTTTTGGTTTTCAAAGCTGGTGCTTTTCGCTTCTAGTGAGCTATAACATATAGCCTAGTAGTCGCTCAACCAATCAGAACAGAGCATTGACAATAGAGCATGAGTTGGATTTTACTAAAATGCAATAGCCCATATGCAGCTAGGTGCATATAAACTGCATGAGCTTTATAGTCTTCTGTATAGAATAGTTCAAATGAGAAAACTTCACCTAAAAAATCACAGTCGTCAAAGTTGACCTCAGCCGGAACAAATGATGCTTGCATGACTATAACATCTTAGAATATAGATTATTAATTAGATTGCGGCGAGTATAGTAGAAGTCATAAGAACAAAGAAAGATAAAATTAATGACATCAATGTAAAGAGAAAGAATATAGTTACATAAAAGCTAATTGAAGTAATTAAAAAACTGCATGATTTTAATAATAATCATAATAATAATTTATATAGCGCCATTCAGCTACCCTTTCATAGCGCTTTACAATAATCAGGTTAACGTAGAACCTAAAAACTAAAAAATATAATAAAAAACCGAGATAAATTAGTTAGAAAGCTTAAAAAATAGATATATACATTATGCAAAAAATGAAAGTTAAAATCTAAGATCTAAAAATACTAAGATAAAATTACAGATAATGTTTCTTCTTCTGCAAAGCAAAGCAACTAAGCAAAGCAAAGCAAAGCAACTAAGCTTGAATATGGAGGCATCCCTAATACCTTCAACAAGACCCTTTAGTTGATCAAAAGCACTCTCTTCAAATATTCTGTTGGTAGCTTACTACGTGGAGAAGTACTTCTTGAAAATGTTCGTATGGAAGAGATTGTTAGTAAACTGGTCTCATAAAGTCAGTCACTGATTGAACTGAACTGTTCACTTGCAATCTTTTATTGTAGGTCTAGAACAGCATGTGCGTTTGGTATAAAGATTTCACATTAGAAAATAACAGAATTCATTCTCACGATCACTGAGTTTTTTACCGAATACAGATGGCTTTGCTCGCCCCAGCAGGCAAGTGGCTGGTTTAGTCCACTGGCCTGTTTGAGGCATATATATACTCTTATATCTTGTGCATTCGCAGAATTTGCAAAACAAAGCCCAATTTTAAGCTTGGCCGTTCCTATGGAAATGCTCGAGCAATAAATACAGCAACCTAGTCAGTGTAAATAAGTCAGTAAGTAATCATGAGTCATAAATATCAGATGACAACTCTAACCCTTTCAAATCATTGAACTGCCCATGTGTGAGCCAAAGGACACAAATGTATTTTTTAGAAGATAAGATATTCCAGTCTTAGCTTGCTGTGAAATTGGCAGGATATGAATATTAAGGATCCAGTGACAGAGATTATGCAGCACATTTGAATATTTTCAGCCTAACATCAGCATGCAGAAAAATAAGGATATTTAGCCTGGGCCAAAAAAACATTCTTATAAAAATGGACTGTGAGTACCACTGAAATTTTACATTACAAGATATATAGAACACTATTGAGTCGGGTTAGTGTGACAAAACATAGCAGAAAACCATCACATTGACTCTCACAAAGGAAAATTGATTAGTTATTCAGATCTAGAAGGCACTGGGAAAATTAAAGAACAATAAATCCTCATTTAGCCTGAATAAAGAGCTTTACATTTCAAAAGAGGCCAAAGGAAATGCTCTTGCACTAGAGGGCAAATCCTGCTGACTATAAACAAAAACGATGGGAGAAAATCAATATGTGTGTCATGACCTCTCAGCAGTGTGAAACAACAAAACAAAAATAAGCAGCAGAAATCGCATATTAAATTTGGTCGCAGTCTAAATTTAGAACCCTCCAGAGTATAATCTACCCTTTAGAGAATTAAAGAGTACTAATTACAGGAACAAGCAGCATTTTGGCAGAAGCAATAGTACATGTAGTGCCTGCCAACCCCTTTTCACTAAAAACAATTTGCAAGAGGAGAGAAAGACAGCAATTTCCTGAGCATGCCTGCAGCTCATGAGACTTAAACCCCTTTAATCCTAATCACCATAGTCAGTGCTTAACTCTGGAATCCCTATTAGTCACTAATGTCTAATCAATACTGATGGCATTGTTTAAGCCTAATCACTATTTCCAGTACTTAACACTAAGTATTCACCCCTTGGCCTGATCGACCGCTTGACTCATGACTCATGGACTCTTTCAAATCATAAAACAAGCTGAATGGAATTTACTCCACTGAAAGATATGAGGGAAATTCCACATGAGACAATGAAATTTTGAATTTTTTAAAATAAAATTTTGCACAATGAAACTTAACCAACAGAAAGCTGAAACAATGGGCTGTTTGAAATTACTGAGATCTTGTCCGTCTTGTCCATGTGCTTGATGTGAGAAGGCATGAAATTCAGAGAATTTGAATCTCATTATATTTGGAATTTTTGGAAGGAAATTTTAAACAAAGTTTTAACATCTAAGAAAACATACAGTTAACATAAAAGTATGTGTGTATTATAACCTTTGCCTTACACTATCATTAGGCTATAAATTATTATCCAGCTACTGGCACTTTCCCAAGAAAATTGACATTGAATTTTTGTTGCAGACATTACGTAATGTCCGCAACCTTAAGGTACCTTTTTTCAGTTCCTGTACACAGTGTGCTGTATTTTCATGTGCTATTGATGCTGCTCAGTTAGTCTGATGTATACTCTATTTTAATCTCAAAACATTTCCTGGGTGGGTTTTCTTTGCTCAGAAATTATACGTTGAAAAGTGTTGCGGACATTACGTTGCGGACATTACACATGTTAGATTTTTCATTTATTCAGGCGGTTGTGGATATTTAGTTCTTACTATCTCTGAATTAGATTCAGACAACAGCCCACTTAACACTAAATTGCTTTTTATTGATGTACAAATGTAAATGGCAAATTAAAAAGAGCTGGTAGCTTTTCCGTAAAATGTCCAATGAATTTAATTTACAACTATTAAGAACATTCCAAATAATTTATGATTTCTGTGATATTCAAAATGGGCAAACATAGTGATTTTCAAATTAGTTCCTTCCATAAAGTAGTATAGATGCATGACAAATTTTGCACTACTTTAACAGAAAAACAGAAAAATATTTTAAAGAGTTTTATATGGTTTTGGGGGATGCCGTCACAAAATTACAGAGTGACATTTGTATGGATCTTTAACTGTGTTTCAAGAGTCATAACTTGATCCCTGTTCAACTTTAGAGCACCAAACCTGCTTAACCAACCAATCTCAACATGACCTTTTATATAGTGGTGTTAGTTTATCGATTAGTTTAAATTTGAAACTTGCCCCAGTTCCCTATGCAACTCCAAAATGGCCAATGAGTAGATGGTCATGGGTTTTGTACTGCTGAGCATGCTCAGAACAATTTGTAAGCATGCTTTTTGAGGAAAAGCACTTACCATCATTGTTTCTTCCACAAACTTGAATGGGTATTATTTTTCTAACAAGAATTTGTAATATAATGTGTAGTGAACAATGTGCAATTTTAGTGCAAAGTTACATTTTATCTATCTTTAAGTCAGACTGAATGACAAAATATGATAATTTCAGTAGCCAAATCAGTTTTGTAATAAAAAAAATCATATCCTCACTACTGAGAACATTTTTTTCTCACAACATTTACTTGAGATGTAATAAAATTAATTTGGAAATTATTTTAAAGAGTCAGTATAGCAGAAAAAAATCTGACTGGTATTGCATGATACTAGGTCTCAGCAGGAGATTATATAATATTATAATAGAACATAAATAAAGTAAATGATAATTTCACAGCTTCATTTTTAGACAAGTAACTACAGAACAAATGGACATAGCTACAGTCAGCAACACTGACTAGGAAGTGAATAATAAAAAATGTGGTCCCAAAAATGTAATGTCTGCAACAATTTTCTGTAATGTCCGCAACGCAAACTTTTGTTTGTAGAATCACTGGAACAAGATTGCATGGAATTTTTTTTTGACAGTTGAAAAATCTAATTATTGTTATGTTTTGAGGGCACAATTATTTTCTGCTCAAGGTTAAAAATTCACAGGAAAATCTCTTTAAAGAAAGTTACTTTAAAAAGTGGTTGTTTAAACTGTAATGTCCGCAACACACTTTCTTCAACTCATACCTTCAAGGTCTTAAGAGCTAACCAAAGCATCTTTTTATTAGGTACAAAGGGAACACTAAAAAGACTTTCAAGATATGTTTGAACACCCTTAATGAACATTTTGACATCTAAATTGGGGTTTAAAATATTAATTTTAGTATCAGAACGTAATGTCCGTAACATGGAATCACCCATGAGTACATGTTCATCAGTACTATCTATAAGAGAATCACCTGTGACTAATCTTCTCTATTATTTTCTTGTTATGTATTGGACAGGAACATGAAAGAGTGACAATATTCCTGGACATAATTCCCACATCAATGTCATACTCGTACCTGCCGTCTCAAATTCAAAGTGACATCTGTAATGAGATTGTTGACATGCTGAACAAATTGCAGTTGACCACAATCCAGGATTTATGTTGGGAGAATCACTGTGAAACGTATTTTTCACCATCACATGGATGAGGAGGTACACTGTAATGTTATACTTTGTCTGACCTTGCAGAAGAAGAAATAAAGACAGCTGGGTATATACTGACAAGTTAAAAATTTGGCTACAATTGTTATCTGACCATGGATCCTATTCACAAAAAGGTCCTTGCAAACAAGACTTCTGAAATAATGAAGAGGATTTCAAATCCAGTGGTTTTATCTGCACATCTTAAAGCAATATTTAGTACTGAAGACTTGGAGGAAGTCGAGGCGAAAACTTCGCAGCGTGGGGCTACCACTGGAACACAAACCATGCTCAGTTTACTGGAAAAGAGAGGACCCAAGGCTTTTACCCTGTTTATACATGCCTTACTAGATCCTTCCATTAGCTGTGCTGATTTGGCAGATGATTTGGAGCAAGAAGAAAGAAAACTACGAGGGGAAGCAGGTGAGTTCTTCATCCATTGGGAAATTACTGCAGTATTATTGCCAACGAGCAGCCTCACAAAGATGTGAGGCTGCAAGGCGGCAGCCTAATAGAGCCATGCGTGATTGTTCCAGGGGCAGAAAAAATCTTGAATCAATGTAACATAGAGTAATGTAAGGCAACCATGACATAATGAAGAACAGAGAATGCATTGTTTTCGAGAGAACACGTGATACAGATCAGAGAATCCACGAGCTATGTGCGTGTTTGTGAGTCCCGTGTTCATTCCGTCTTCAACCAATCCTTGGGTGGATCATTTCCATCCTATATGATATCTGTCGCATTTGCCCCCTGGAATTGTTTATTGCATGCTGCTAAGAAAAATAATAACGTCGCGAAATTTTTTGTCTTTGAAGCAAATTAATTCGTAAGGCTTTATTGGTGCACCATAAATTTTTTTGCTTAAAAAAGAGACCAAATATAAGTCTGTGCGTTGAATATTCGCAGACATTAATATGATTTTTTGAGGATTTTAAGTTTGCTTATAAGTTCACTAAATTTTACGCAAAATGACTTGGCTGTGCAACTTTGGACAAAAATACGAACTTCAAAATCTCGAAAAATTTGCTATGTAAAGTCGGGATTTTAAATTCTTTATGCAGTAGAACAGTTTAGTTCGCTATTTTCAAGAGACAACTTAAAGTAAAGGGCATACATACACCAAACCCATGATCCGCCTTCCCCGTGCATGTCGTGGGAGAACTGCTGTGTGATTCCCAGCCAACAGCTCCCCCATGTGTTGCCACTTGAAGGACTCCCCTCGGCAGGAAAGGGTCTTTTATACATGGGTTTGCCCCGTTCACTGACTGGCGGCTATGCCATGCTGATGACCCCCAGTAAGGGCGAAACAGCTGTCCATGGCTCCCACTGCCCGTATAATATGGCTGTGGACATGCGTGAGGTAATGGCCAGGCCGTGGGTTGGTGTATGTTTGCCCCTTGCTTTAATTTACTGGTAACTTGTTATCCACCTTCCCTGTGCATGTCATGGTAGAACTGCTGTGCAGTTCCCACATGTGTTGTTTGGAGCTGGCGCTTGATAGACTGCTTTGCACTCACCTCGGCAGTAAGAGGTTTTTGAGACGCGGGTTTTCCCCGTTCATTAACCCAATGCCTTTGCCACGCTGGTGAGCCCCAATATGGGCGAAACAGCTGTCTGTGGCTGCCACTGCCCGCGTGATATGGCTGTGCGCATGCGTGAGGTACTGGCTCGGCTGTGGGCTGGTGTGTGTGTGCCCCTTGCTTTAAGTTCGCATTATTTTCAAGGTAATTTTCGCTAATACAATCGAATTAAGTTCAAGCTATTTTTCATCAATGACTGTATGTTATGGCATTTCTATACAAATTCAACAGCGCGTGCATATAGGTAGAATCTTTTCTTGTTTGCATTTAGCAATAGCTATAACTAATTAAAATAAGATTTTAAGCCACGGCATTGTAGTGCTGCTAAATGCTCTTCTTGAGGCTTATTGATTGAATAGGTCAGTATGTCAGCTTGTATCTTCAATCAGTTGTTTTCGTTATAAAAAAATAATGTAGCACAAAAGTGGGTTGCTTTTTGAGCTATTTTTTGGGTGTTTTTAGTTTGTGCTTCATAAAGTTGATACAGCCATGTCAAAGTAACCCGAGATCAGGCCCAATTATAGCAAGTTTCATTCTCTCTTTTTACGTGTCACACGTCAGAACATTTACTTACCAAGCAAAATGATAATATAGCCTGATCTCAGGTTACGCAAAAACTTCGGTGAGGTCAACGATAAGGAAGGGGGCGAGGAGAAGAAGGCAGAAAACCTTGGTTTGCCCAGCTGTATAACGAACTACTAACAAAAAACACACCAAAAAACAACCTGCACTTTTAGTATGATAATGAAAATGAGTAACAAAAAATATCATCTAGTTACAATATCCTGGACAAAAGTCCTTGGGACAGTACTGCAATATTCATATTTTTCTGTCATTTCTCCGATCGGTTCCCTCTTAAAACAGTGCATCCTTTTCGAAATTTTCTTGCAGTTCTCCCTTCCCCCAGCATGCCATATGCATGCCCCCATTCATTTTTTGGTTATTGATTTCATTACATGTGTATTAATTTTTTTTGAAAGGTTGTAAGTCCCACGACGGGGCCACCAAGTTCATGCAAAAACCCCCAAAATTCATCCTTGTTCTCAAGGTTCTCGTTCTCTCTTTCTTCCCTCCTTCCTCCCCTCCCAAAATCTGTGAGATTTGCCAGAGAGTGGTGAAAGCATCACACTTGTCCTTTCTGATTATTTTTGGAATTTGTGGAATTTTTGCAAAATTATGTGCATGCAAAAATTAGAAAGAATAAGGTATTGACGTGTGTTGTATTTATTGAAACATCTATTTGGTCGAATAAGAGCTGAGTATACCATATTATGCATTTATGCAGAGTTTTATAACAACATATTAAATGAAAGAAGAAATTGTGAAGCATTTAATTTGTTGAGACAAGCAACTTAAATTTGTTATAAGTATTGCTAAAGTTGCGTGTATATGTTGGGGTTCAATTTTATCCCTGGTTTAAATGTTATTCCCCATTGTTTTAAGCTCATTATCATACATTACCATACCCCAAAACAAAGGGAAATAAAATTTAAACCAGGGATGAAATTGAACCACAACATATATACATGTAAGTATTATAATTATTAGATGATTGTTTTACAAATGATGACTTTCTTGAAAATATTTTATTCTTTGAGGTTAAAATTTGTTGACAACAACAGCTCTGTTCAATTTAGTACATTTCACCATTGGTTGTGCTTTGCAAACTAATAATACATCATATGTCGTACATGTACACTGTTACATACCTCTCTAGGGCTCCTCTGTTAACTCCCGTTGTCAAATTTTAATACAAGTTTGATTTAAATGGATTAAACAGGGGCTTTAATAAGAGAAGTGACCAGTGCTCCAGCATCACCTAACCAATGGGACATTAATGATTCTGCAGGAACTTTTAACTTTGAACAAAAGAAAGTCACCCTAGGTAAGCCCATTGATTATATTAAGAAATCTATGGTCTTTCTTTGCCCTGAATGCACTACAAATTAATGTTGCTGGGAAATGAAAATTTTGTCTTCCGATCAGATGCTTTAGGTCAGGTCCAAAACCCTTGACCAAAATGCATGTCTAGTCCAGGTGCCTTATCCAACCTGGGACTTTTTCCATCATGATGTCACTTATTCTACAAGGTTATGGGCATAACAGACTGTACTGCAATGTTGATTTCCTCTTTTTGTCAACTCATTTAGGACCAATTTGCTTGCGAATCTTCAACATTCTTCCAAATTACTTCTGTTTAAGGGAGCTTGCTAGGTTCAAGTTTGGTCAGTCACTCAGCATACATGTAAGGTGTCATGCTTAGTTGGTGTACTGCCCCTTGTTGGTAATGGTTGAACTAACCCAAGGGATAGCACAATTTCCTGGCTTCTACATGAAGCCCAGCTTGCATCCATGATGCCACTTTGACACAGCACCAAGCCTGTGTGCTGCGCTTGTGGTCAGTGTTTCTAGCCATTTTTGGCCATGGGTGGGGCTGTCAGACTCCATGGTATCGGTATTATCATACCTCTCTCTTTGGGCCTTTTCCCAGCGTTTTCTTGTTTATCTCATACAGTGGCATGTGTAATCGGAGTACCAAAGTGCCTTTTTGTCATCTGGGCTGAGCAGCCTTATGTGATAATTTAAGTATGGAACACAAGGCTGAAGAGCCTCTAGTTTAGTGTGTGGACCATAAAGATTGAGCTTTATCATATTTCTTCTTCCACATTGTTGTTGTTGCAGGGTTTATGGTGTAAAAACTACTATTTTTATAACTACTGTTGTATCATTAACCAACCATCATCTTTAATAGCAAATCATTGCTCTGTCATTCTTAATCTCATCGCAAGAAATTTGCAATCAAGTGACCACGGCATTACTGTTTTTGCATAAATAATTGCATACTCATGTTCTTTGTTTATTAAAGCTTTGCCCAGATTGAAGGCTATGGTGTGCATCACTGATTGAAGAAAAGAAACAGTTGCACATTATGGTGGAACCTCGATATAACAAACCTCTATATAATAAGTCCTTGGAACAATATTCTTCATCTCAGCAATAGTACAATGTAAAAGAACCTCAATAACCTTGTTATAGCGAACATATTTTTTTACCAGCCCGCTGTTGCTCCATTATATCAAGGTTCCACTGTAACGTTTTTGTCAAGTTGAGAACACTACTCGTGGTATTTATTTTTTGTGTATTTTTTGGATAGTAAAACTGAAAAAGCACTTTATCAGGCTAGTTTTAGTGACTGGTTTGTTTAATTAAAATTAGGTTCTCTTGTTAAGGACATGCCTTTTGCACTGCGCACGAAGATTGAACGGATGATGAACGTCAATAACCATAATGACCTTAACTGGAGGGGTTTGGCTGAAGCCATGAGTTTGTCAGTTGATGATGTGCGACAGATGGAGGAAGGAGAAAATGGGAAAATGACAGGACTCTTTGATAACATGATACATACCAAAAAAACCATTAAAGATTTTCTTGACTTTCTGAAACATCCTGCTGTTCAGAGACTGGATGTCATAGATGAAATTGTAGAAGGCTGTGGTCTTCCAAAAGAAGTGTCAGAAAATGAAAGCTCTGAACTCTATGAAACAGGTTTGTTTGTTTGTTTGTTTTACGTACTAAAGCTGTTTATGAGCTACTTTTTATCTTATGAAAGCCCGAATTATCGCTGTGGTTGAGATATGCAAATGAGTCACTCACGTAGGGCTCGCTCTGAAGTTGACCGATATGAAAACGACATATTGTCGTTGTTGCCGAAGTGTACTTTGGGCAACGTCGGGGCGGTTCGGGCATGCATTCACACGGTTACTTAGCATTAGATAACACGGGGTGAAGCGTGATTGGACGCCTCATAAAAGTTTACACAACGCATAATTCTCTTGACATGACGATAACAGAAATCCTCTAACCTTGTAGAATTACTGATAGAAAAAGAAAATAAAACTACAGAGCGCCAGTTATTCACCTTCGTCACGTGGCGGCCGTTAATTTGTCTCAGGAGATTGTTTATGCACCCCTAGCCTCGTAGATAGAACGAGGCTAGGGGTGCATAAACAAAGCTTTTTAAATCTCCTGAGACAAAATGGCCCCCGCGTGACAAAAGCTAATTGAGAGAACATACTAGAGAGTTTTAAAACACTGATCTGCACGGTTATTACGGTTAAGCACTGAACTGAAAACGGTAGTCTGAAACGTCATACGTCTCCACCCACTAACCCGTGGGGGCACGGGGAGAGAGACAGCGCCATCCACGGGTTAGGCGTATTACATTTCAGACAATGAAAACGGTCAGCTTTCAAATAATTTATTGTAATGGGATACGGCATAAAAAATTACTGGATTTGGTAGCTAGTCCTCGATCGTGTGGTGGATATGAATGTAGCTGTTACGAAGAAAATGACTCGCGTTCAAAGCTTCCCAGTTCTGTTTATCAATCATATTTTATATCACATAGTAAAGTAAGACTTAAGTTGTTCTTCGTATAATTTTACTGAAGGAAACAATCAGACTTCAGCCGATGTTACCAAATGCTTTTATAGCAATAAAAGGGGGTGGTAGGCCTACACGACTTTTACCTCATGCCAAAATGCTGCTTATTCCAATAAAGTTTTTTTTCTCTCTCTGCTGGATAGATTATGCTCTGGAAGGTTCAGCAAATGTGATTTTAGCCGCATGTTTCACACTGAGAGGTCATGGCACACATCGATTTACTGTAGTTATTGTTTCCGGTCGGCAGGATTTGCCCTCTGATGCAAGCGCATTTTCTTTGACCTCTTTTGAAGCGTAAAGCTTTTTTATTACGGCTGAATAAGGGTTCCAATTTTCTTCAAAGTGCCTGCTGGATCTGACTAACTAAGTCCGTGGGTGTAATGTCAGCCAATCCCATAATCTAGCCATAAAATAAATATTTATACCGGAGCTGTTTCCAGGCACAACAAATATCTTGCTGAATTCTTGCTCATGCGTTGTTCAAATTGTCACGCATGTGCCAGGGTCAGTGATAATTGTTTGGCTCAGTGTCGCTCGTTTGTCAGGCCAGAATCGCGTATTTGTCTTGCCCGGAATTTTTATACGGAATTAGAAAAGCAAAAAGGAGGAAAGAACGCAGTAGATTAAAGATAAATGAGCTGTATCCGCCGGGACTATGAACTGCCGACTGGGTATAGAATGCCCTGTGTATAAAACACGGACTAGAAGCTGCGGTCTGTTCGACTGTTTTGTTTTGCTGTCTAATTTTATCAATTTGTCAAATTGTATTTCCCTTTAGATCCAGAGCTGAAAAGACAGCTTCAATTTGATGGATGCTTCTTGCATCCTGAGAAGTATGATCCCGTGAAGTTCCTAGGATCTGGAGGATTTGCTCAGGTACTTTAGTTTTACTGACTGAAATATTTTGTGGCTATTAGTAGTAGCTCATTATCGGACCCATGTGCACCCAAACTAAACTCCACAGAGGTACGTACATGTATAGTAGAGTGAGTGATCTGAGGAGGGGCACAGGACTGTTATAGGAACTTAGTGCTTTAGGAAATTTGCTGGGCGGCCAACAAGTAGACAAGCAAAAAATTATCTTCTCAACTTATCCCAGCTGTGAAATTGACTCACGAGTTTTACAACGTCCATGATTGTTAAGTACTGTTACGAAAACGAGCAGGAGCGTATTATCAGGTTTAAAAACTTGAGGCGAAGCCGAGAGTTTTTAAACCTGATAATACACGAGTGAGTTTTTTGAACGGCTTCAAAATCTCTGATAAAGATCAACTCATTTTCGCACTAATATTTAGACTTGGGGTTATTTTCCTTTAAAAAATGGAACGTAAAGTTTAGTGGTGTCTCTATTAGATATAAAGACACTCATTAAACGTTAATTTCTTTTGTTTTTATATGAATTATTAATGAGTTTTGAATGAAGTTTTATCCGCAATGAATTTAATTTAAGGTGTTTCGATACACGATTTTTTTCAGTCGCCTTAAGATCGCTATAAAATGTTCACCACTAACTGACACTGGATTGAAGTATGTCAAAATGTAGTTTTAAGTAAAATCGATTTCACTATGGCAACAGTAAACAAAAAAATTGAAAGCCGAATTTTGCGCGATCTAGACCTGCAACTGAAAATCCGACAGCAGGAACTTAAAGTGTGGTGTTTAGCAAATAACCCCCGTGGGAGGTAAAAAATTCTGTATGTTTGAATTCAAATAAAACGTAAATATATTTCAAAGCTTATATTTTCAATAGTCGTGATAAATTGTTGTAATAAAAAAGTTCTAAATAACTCAAGTTCGTCTTAGTTAACGTTCGAATGCTGCTTAATATGATATTTCGCTGCAAGGAAATTTTGGTGTATTTTCTTTCTTGCGATCCTGAAAACCAAGTATCATTTAGGCAGGTGGTGAGAAAACAGGTTAGTTTTCAGGATCACAAGAAAGAAAAGACACCAAAATTTCCAAACAACGAAATATGATATTAGGCAGCATTCTGACATTGCTTAAGACTAACTTGAGTTATTTAGAACCTTTTTATTAAACAATAGGGGGGTTTCGTATTCCCGGGCGGCCTAGGACGAGTGCTTGTTTTTGCGCGAAAGCGAGGCTAATGCGGGTCACGTCTCACCAAGAAAACAAACACATGAGAAAACTGCTGCTGAGTTGCAGAAAAAAAAGAAAATTTGAAACGATGAAAGGTTTTGGAGGTCTCAAAACTTACTTACGGGCTTGAGAAATCATTTTTTCAAACAGCATTGGAAAATCAGTTTGTCATCACTAACTGAAGAAAAACAACGAGCCTAACCAGAAATTGACCGAAATAGTGGTCGGTGCCGAAGTGAGTTCAATAAAAATGCGAAGATGGTTTCAAAATCCTTAAACAAGGTAATACCCTGAAGTCATTTTAATTTTATTTTCATTGATGGTCAAAAGTTCTTTAAGCCATACCTTCCATTGGAGTGTACACACTTGTCGAAATCCTGTAAGTTAGACTGAAACCTTCGAACTATAGTTGACATGTTTTCTAACGGAGCGAATGCAAAATCTTGTGTATTTGAAAAATAATAAACCGACGGAGCAGACGTTCTGCAAAAATTCCTTGTACTGTCGGGAGGTTAAATCGGTTTAAACGAAGATGACTAAAATAGTGTAAGTTTATTTATACATGAACTTACATTTAGCTTACATTATTTATCAAAATATTCAGTCCCATAAAGAAAAACGTATGCACATTTCACTCGACAAGAACTCGAACACAGAATTTTATACAAATGATATACTGAGCAGTTTAAACTCCATTTTACAGATATACACAAGAGTAAAATAGAATACTTAGAAGTACGATAATTAAAGGGAATAAAATAAATTCATTTTAACAAACTTTACCCGTTTCAAGCTTAAAATGTCTACTTCCTCTTTTGGCTTCGTCGCTTTTTTCCTTTCTTCTGTTAAGTACGATCAACTTTTCTCACAATTTCGGTGTTTGCAACTGATATCCCTCTGGCTTACTGGTAAAGTTTAAGCTTTGAAATCTTACTATTTTTGAGATTTCTATCGTTTTCCAGCGACTCAGCGGCAAATTACCTCTGTTTGTTTTTGTTTTCGCACAGAAGTTGACCCGCATTAGCCTTGCAATCGTGCTCGTCCCAGGGCCGTCGGGGAATACGAAACTTGCCCACGACTATTGAAAATATAAGGTTTGAAATATATTTACGTTTTATTTTGACAAACTTCAGTCCAATGTCAGTCAGTGGTGAAAATTTCATGGCGATCGGACAAGGATAAAATCACTTTTAAGGCGATTAAAAAAAAAGGTTATGGTCACCGAAAAACTGCGTCGAAACACCTTAAACTAACACATCATTCCAAGGCTGTTTTTTTTTTTTAAGTTACCAATGAATTGAAAGGGGCTAAGTATGCAAAAAATCTAAGTTTTATGCACAAAGATAGAAATATCTGCAAGGAAGAGTTTAGCTGGAAAATTTTTAATCGACGTCTTCTTGCCAGAAGTTCTGTTCCCAGGCCCAGAACAGGTATTTCGAGGCCATGTCACTCGTCAGAATTGACCTTAACAGGGCCTCGATATCACATGGCGACGCAGAGATATGAAATATGTTTCTTCCAGATTTGAAAAATATTTCACAAGTGAGCCCAGTGAACAAGTTAATTATTAATATTTTTCATCAGGTGGAGAGAAATAATTTTTTGTATCTCCAAGAGGCCATGTATTGTATTTTTTATATAAACACCGATGAAATACCAAACTACTTCACTTTACAGTAGAACCTCGATATAACGAACTACCAAGGGACCGGCAAAATATGATTCGCTATAACGAGGTTCTTTTTCAAATATTTGACTATTACTGATTACTGAGATGAAGAATATCATTCGTTATACCAAGGACTTCGTTATACAGAGGTTCGTTTTATCGAGGTTCCACTGTCATATTTTTTGCTTCGAAAGGTGCAATTTATTTTTTAGCCATTGCAACGGTGATCTTTGTGCACATATGAAGATAACATGTTATAATATTTTTACATGTGAAGATATCATGTTTTTGTGTGAAAGCTCACCTGGCATTTCATTGGTGTATTTAAGTAAAATGATATTTTTTGTAGTCTTTTTTTTCTGAAAGACTGAAATATTTCGGACCAAAGTGGTGGCTCACTTCCATGATCAGAATACCCCAGGGAAACTTTTAGACTTTCTCCTAATCAGTCCTTGATTTATTTCTTATGTGACAATTCTAGGAATTTACTTAGTCTCCAATTTACAATGCATCATAGATTAACAAAAACAACTTAAAGTTTTAATTTCGAGGCTCTCAAGGCCCCACTTGATTTTTAGCAGAATTAGGCTAGTTATCATTAGTTACAAAATTTCATAGGCATTATGCAATCCAGTGCAATCTTGGATCATAATTGGTAGGGGGAGGGATGTCTAGAGGAACACTTCCAGAAAAAAATTAATGTAATTCTTCATTTGAAGTCTCTGGACACAGTTAAGTACAATGAAAATTTCACTTCTGTTTAACATTATTCGTAACGTTTCCTTAAAGTTAAAGTTTGGTTAACTCTTAGAATTTTAAGGGCAAACTGAGGCTTGATATTCTCATAACAGGTCTATCTTGTGATTGAAAAACGAACAGGCAAGAAAATGGCTGCTAAGATGTTTAATCTGGGGGCAAATACAAGAGACAAACAACAGGTAAAAAGTTATGACTACAATTTGTAGCAATATTATCGTTTCGTTTATAGTCAAGGCAGTGCAAAAAAACCTTTTTGTGTTCATTTTTCTTGTTCTTGATCGTCACTTGGTATTTCTTGGATTTTGGTTTGCTGGTCTGAATATGAAGTTCTCTTGTCCAAAAAATCCCTACTTCACTGTCCCCAGAGTAAGTAATAAGACGTGAAGTGACATTTTCAGAGGGATTGAGTGAACAAAAGGTAAAAAATAGTAAAGGTCCTTATTTTACATTGGTAATCTGTAACAATCACGATTTGACTGACAAACCTGAGGCTGATAGCACTCTCATTTTCTTACTGTACGCGATATTTACATTCCGTTTGTTTATTAATGAGAACAGTTGTTCAAGAAATGTGAATGCGCTGTACGTTGTATTTGTCATTCCGGCCCTCAAGTTATGAAATTTGAGCCTGCTCCGATAATACGGCCAATTTTTTTTGTCCCATTGGTGTAATTTAATCAAAGGGTGCCTCTGGCTAACTCGTGGATTAAGTATTTTACACATGAAAGCTGATAATCAGCTTGCAATAGTCTGTCAAACAATGGATCACACAGTGCAAAATCTCTCTCACAAATCTAGGGCTTAGTTTGCCAGTTTATGTTGGACACATTTTACGATCAAAACATATGAGAAGGGGCTTGGACGTTTCTGGCTATTCCTTCTTTCCAGGGAACATACGTGACAGTAGGTCCCTATATAAGGCTATTGTTTACTCGCTGTAGTATTGAGTTTCCTGTCTTAAGACAGTATAAGTGGCTCATCCCCAGTTCCCGGTCTTAGTCATTTTTCTTATTGTTATGCTTCCAATAATTGTTTACGAGTAAACTTTGACTTACCTCGTGAACAGTTCGATAGTTCTCCAACTCTATTCCTCCTACATGTAGTTCGTCTTCCATGCGATGTTTACTTGCAGGTTGACCACATACATGTGTAGTCTGTGGTTTCGAATCATGAACTCGTCAATTGTGCAGCTAATGCTTGGCGTGCTTACAATACTTGTTTCGTTCAAGAAGTGCTCGTTTAACAGTATTGCTCATTACAGTTTGACAAATAAAACTCATTCTCATCAACGCTTAAAACATTGGCATGAGATTACACATTTTGAGGTTACTTTCCAGTTAGGTTGAAGTTATTTACCGGCTTGACACACTCCTTGTGAGCTTGGGGAGTCGAAGAGCAATTGCTCATCTCTACGTCATGTTAAGCGCCTGGACGAGTCAAAAAGCTTCAAGAGTTCATGAAATTCTGTCTGCAAGTTAGTCATTTGAAACATTCGAAGTCCGCATGAAGACAACTTACCATCCTATATAATGAAAGCTACAAAATCATAACATTGAATGTACGATCCGCATTTCTTTATCGCGGGGACGTCAAGGAACGATCGACCTACGACAAGATTGTCGTTTTGATATCGGAAGTTCTTTTGCCGTTCGACTAATCACGAACGTTATCCACACCTGATTGACACATTTGCATATCGCAGTGCCCACAATAACTCGTTCCTTACGCTACGCGTAATCCACGAGTTAAAAAATTTAGTTGAATTTTGACTTTTGTCACTTTTGGAAAAAGGGTGAAGATTTTTTTATTAGGGAATTTTAGATATGGTTGTTGTCAAAAATGGTTTATCTTTCGTTTTTGGTCTTAGCTGGTAGAGTCTATGGAAACTGAAGTCAGGGCTCTAACTTCAATTAAACACGAGCATATTGTAGAGTTCTTTTTTGGGGAGCGTATTCGCAACACCGGTCTTCTGTTTCTGGAGTATATGGAAGGGGTAAGAAAAATTTAAGTTAATCAAAATAAGTTGGCTTTAATTTTATATATAAAAGTTCAGATAGAGTGACTTTACTTAACCCGTGAAATAGGGAGAATACTAGCTACGCACTATTATGCACTTATTCTATTGTCTTCTTTTGTTTATTTGTAGCTATTTTGCACTAGTTGTTATTAACTGTTTCACGGGTCAAGTAAATTTGCTATTAAGTCAGTGATTTGATTTAAGAGGGAGTAATGTATGAACTTAAAAATATGCAAAAAATTGCAATTAAAGATGTGTAATTATACCAGAAAAAATAAACCGTGTAGAAACCTCAATGTCAATTAACTAGATACAGTGTAATATCGTTCTAAATAACACTTCACCGTTCATTTTCCTTATGTTACTTACATGTGCTTTATATTTGTTTTATTGTTATTTTATTGTTTGTTTACTTATATTTTAATACTTTTCGGTAGATATGTATTTATCATGTATTTAGCAATATTATTCCTCGAGCCCAAATGGGCTCTGAGTCAATGGACCATGAGGCCGAAGGCCGAATGGGCTATAGACTCAGAGGCCATGAGAGAGAAAGGAATAATTGTTTTAGTAAAATCCAACTAGTCGGTAAAAAATATCGAGACAAAACAGCTTTGGCTAGCAAAACGCGATTCAGCCGCCATTGTTTTAGTTTTCAAAGCCGACGCTTTTCGCTGCTAGTGGGCTATAACATATAGCCCAGTAGTAGCTAAGCCAATCAGAACGTAGCATTAATAATGGACTACTAGTTGGATTTTACTAAATCATGTATAGTCTATATCATTATATCATGTAGTTTTCGCTACCCGACTCGATTTGTCATGCTAGTGTCGGACGGGGCGTTTAATACCGACAAACATTTGTTGTATTCGTGTTTGTTGTTTTTAAAATGAGGTGTTTTAAGTGGTAAAATATTGTTATAGTGAGAATGATAAATTGGATGTTGGAACCATTTACATGGGTAAACCGCCGGTCATATCACGGTATGGACTAATGGAAATAAAACTCAGGACTGGTGAATTTCGTTCAAGAATCACGTTTAGTAAGTCCCATTTACCAAGAAACGCCTCCAAAATGCTCATGCTTGTATCAAAAATGTGTGAGAAGAAATGGGGCACGAATTTCCCAGTGAAACATTCCGGCCGGAAAACAGGACTAACTTTTCAGACATTCCGTTGCTCCCGGAAATTTTCCTCTTAAACTACCCAAAAAATCGGGTTATTTTTACTTTCTAACCGACATTTCCGGAAGCTTTTTGTCAATAGTGAACTTGTTTTCCGCCAGGGGACTCTAGAACACTTGCTTAGCAACAACGGACCTTTGGATGAACCTTTGGTGGTCAAGTTCACAAGACAACTTCTTTCTGTTGTTGATTTTCTCCACACGAATGGAAAAAAGCGCATTGTACACCAAGATATTAAAGGTTAGGTTTGAAAAGCTGTTGCCTCTTGTACGCAAGCCTGAGTGGTCGAAGGTTTTCGAAAACAGGTGTTTATGTAAACGGAGGTTTCGTAAAGCGCTTTCCAATGTTTTCTATGAGAACGCAAGCTTGAACACAGGCTGGCAACATACTATACTTTCCCTGAATGAGTTGCTGCGTTTCTTATTAAATGTTACGACTTGTCAGTGCGACGCTGTAGTCAATAACGACGTTTATTTTCGTACTCGTAAATAGCACAGCAGGACGAAACTTTCTTCATTTTCTAGGTTTGTTTAATTGGCAACAACAACATTGGAAGAACGTTGAAAACGTTAGTTGTAAACGGGTCTATGTTCCTTTCATGATGCGAAAATGCTAATGTCGATACGGAAATTTGTTAATGCGTTTTCGTTAACATGAAAACCGATGGTTTTCGAAACGCACTAGTGTGACCTCTAGTGTGGACATTGCTTAAGTGTTAATTGAATATATTGGTTATTTCAGGCGCGAATATTTTGTTGGATGGCGCCCAGAAAAACATAAAACTGTTTGACTTCGGAATCTGTACAATAATGGAGGTAAGATCGTGTCGTTTATATGAGGTTTACATATTCTTTTGCCCTAAAAATAGGTAGTAATTATACTGGTTGGCCTCAAATAAATCAGCCCTTTGCCGTATTGCCAGCCTTGCATTCAGTCTTGTTTTAATTCCTACTTCAAGTGACGTCTGGCATTAGCATCTCTACATTAGAGATCCTCCAAGAACATGAGAACCAGTCGGTTTTATTTATACGCGTTGAGTGGACCTCAAGGCATTCAAGGGTTTTTGTATACCGATCGCTTACTAAAGGGTGTTCATTTACGAGAGGTTCCAACCATGGTAATCTGACTGGGAAAGATATGCTGTTTTTGATGGGTGGTCGCTTATGGGAGGTATAAAGTCGCACATGGAGGTTCAACTGTCCTCTTTTTTATTGCTAGCCGCTAGCACTTATAACATATTTTTGTCGTTTGTCTGATGACTGCCTGTTGATTTCTACAGGAACCAAGAACTCCCGCCGGTGGCCTGTTGACTAAAAATAATGTAGCGTCCTTTCATTGGACAAGCCCTGAACTTCTTGCTGGAAGAGAATTTAGTCGAAACACAGACATCTGGTAAGCAGAATTCAACGGCGTTCTTGCTTATGGTGGGATTGACTTCATGGCTTTGCCTATTTAATTTCAGTCTCTTTAATTTGTCTGAGTTTAAGGTCTGTAAATTATAGCATTGCGCAGGGCTATATACTGTAGCGAGTAATATCATCTTCTCCATACATTGATGCCTTTGCTGATTTGTGGAGTTCACGGCTTCCGCGCACGCTAGTTTACGAGATGTTATATTTCACGAGCCTTTCAGTCAGTTTAGGGCTTGTTTACATGGGGCTGGGGAAACCCCAGGCAGTAGGTGGTGTAACCCGCCTGTCCATATAATGTAATGCTGCGCGTCGAAAATAATGGAACGGCTTACTTCTCCGAAATTTTGCTTCACCTCGGAATTGAGATTTCTTACAGTTCCTGTATTGCTTTTAGGAGTGTTGGATGTACAGTAGTGGAGATGCTAACAACAAAGCCACCTTTATTCTTTGAATATTTGTCTGTAAGGCAAAAAATGTTCCGGATTATAAACCATATGATTGAACCACCGACTGATTGTACGTCCCTAGCGTTTGGGTTTTTAAAACGGTGCCTTTGGTAAGTTCTATTATCTGGTAAAGATTTATTTCTGTATGGGCTGTGTGGCTTTGAATGTGTTGAGATGCATGTAATAAAACCGAAACACCCTGGATCACAAACACAAGTTATTCTTGTCAAAATATTTACTAGCTTAATTCAGTATTTTACTCATTGTACTGATCTTAAATAGCCAGTTTATTAAACTGATAATTTCCAATGGATTTGTAGCGGACTCACAAGAGCGGTTCAGAACTTGTGAAATCAAAAATCGGACTTGTAAGCAGGCCCATAAGCGTGTTAGAATCGGAGACGCAAAGATCAGAACGTTTGCTTTTTGTTTTTTGTGCGACTCCGCTTATGACTCCGTCGCGTGCGATCAAGGGAAAACTAGATCATCGGAGTCGAGAGCAGAAGCAGAGGAATATATCAGTTGCAATGCTCGTTCTCATCCGTTGTGATTGGGGGACCAGAAGGGTGGTTCTTCCGCTTCTGCTTGCGACCTCGACAGTCTAGTTTCGTCAGGTCGTAAGCGACAGAGTCATACGATAATGTGAACTGGAACTCTGTTTTCATTAGATTATAAAGCTCCACGCTTCTGATAACGACTCAGACTCTGACTCTGTTGCTGGTGAAAGAAAGCTTCCAAGCCCTAATATTTCCCAGCATCCAACTGTCTATTTTTACGATAACATCATTTCGTTACAACCACCAGAATCCTTCAAGATTTTGTTTTCTAGTGCGAATGGGGGCTTTTGTTCTTGAAAACTCTCTGAAATGGGCCATTTGCACGATGGCGTCATTTTACTACTACTACCAGAATCCTTCAAGGTTTTTCTTCCTTGTGCAAATTTGGGCTTTTGTTATTTAAACCTCGCTGGGATAGACCTTGTCACGGTTTTCGACGCCATCTTGACGAGTAGGCAAACCCTTGAGAAATTACAGTGTTTTCATGAGACTCTAATGTCGAATACTTTCCGTAGAACGGCTGTTTTGAAAAACATATGAATTGTAAACTAATGTTTCACTCCTAAGGATTCTACTGAGAAAAATTGAGGGTGTTACGCTAGAAGACCTAGAACCACTTTTTAAAATTTTCTATACATTTGTCTGTAAGAAAGTCCCAGGAAAAAATGTATGGAAAATCTAAAGCAAGCCTCTGGAGAAATTTAAGCACAGGTACGCCCCCCAATTTTTTTAGTACAATCCTTTGTTTTGTAGCTTTAGTGTACAACTCATATTTTTTTCAAAACAGCCGTTGTATGGAAATTATTCGACGTTAGATTCTGATACACACACTGTAATTTCTCACGCGTTTGCCTACTCGTCAAGATGGCGTCGAAAACCGTAACAAGGTCTATTATCGCCAATTTTTAAAAAAAAGATTTTGAAAAGTTCTTTTCATGAATGAAATTGCTTAAGAAATGGGGAACAATTTAAAGAATTAAAGAATATCCATCTTGATTTTATGAAATGCAATATCCAAATCTTTTCAGTTTTTTTTATTAATGTATGTAAAAAAATTCTTTCACTTTTAACCAGTCTCCAGGTGGATATGTTTGTAAACTGGTGAGTGTGTTCCAGCGTGTGTGTATGAATTATAAACAAATTTA